ATCTGGCATTCAGTCCTATTCATCAATGACATTATCCATGTGAGGAGGTTGTCATGCCAGATAACAATCTAAGCAAAAACGTTGACAGCTTTATGTCTTTTCTAATAAGTTTTCAGCCACTTCAAAAAATATAAAAACTTTTTTTTAGCCTGAGAAGTGTGTAGTCAGTTGAAGTGAGTACTGTGCGAGTGGTCGGTGAATCTTTTATACTTTCATTCCTTCCTGGTTGGTGATATATTCTGAATCTGTTGATGCTTTGCTCTACATTATTGTAACTTTTTAAAGAAACAATTTTGTGGTTGAATAAAATAAGCATTCGTATTTGATTGAACAGAGAGGGAAGATGTGGAAAACAAGTAGATGTTTGTTTACTGAATGATTTTTAGGACAATTTTGGTGAACGCGTTGTGGTGAACTTAATGGTATTCTGCATGCACTCCACTGTTTTGTTGTTTCTTGATCAGTTATTAGCTATTGAATATTGGAAGTAGTTTTGCCCTGTCAACGTAATTAAGTGCTAAAATGGATTGAATGTAAAAGGCTCAGTGCCAGTGAATGAAGTATAGAACAAGATTAGTTGATTCAGTTTTGTTAGTCACTGGTTCGTATCTAGCAGTTATGGATGTTATTCAGTGGTGCATGTTTTGGGGGCAAGGAAATGCTACCATATTGTTCTTATGTACTGTATGTTCCAAATTAATTAACAGCTAAATTAACTGTGCGCTATGTTGTCTGAGGCAGTGGTTTCTGGTACTTGGGGACCACTCTCTCTGCTGGTTGTTGTTCAAGCTGAGTTCTAAATCTCCAGGGCTAATTGATGGCTTACATTGATCTGTGTACTTCTCCTCAGCTTGCTTATCCCTATTTCCGACTAAATAGCTCTTAATAGGTGATTAGGTGATCAATTTATAATGAACAGAGATAGGCAGGCTTGAACTCCCAGGACTGTTTTCATTCTTGCTGAAAGAATGGACAGAGAACAGTTAGGAAACTCTGAAATTTGTACAGGTTTGATTCCAACTACAAATTCCGTTCAACCTTTACGAGCTGCAGGTAAATTCAAACATCTGCTCCAGAATCCAAGCTCAAATCTTTAAGCCTGTGATTAGGAGCAAACCCCAGAATGAACAGGGTTCCATTGTGTTTGAGAACAATCTGACATTGCTAAATATACATGCTTTATTAATGGATAATTCAGTTGTGATAGCTTATTTATATTTTGTCATCCATAAACTTCTTACGTGCCCTTCAGAACTGTATCCATACTTGCATTTTTAAAGTGTTAGACATTTTGTTTTGTTCTGTTTTGTACATTAGTTTTGTTCTGGCACATAATACGTTACCACATATACCTTAACACAGCTTTGCCTTTACTTTAAAATGTATTTAATGCATCATAGTTTTAAAACTAAGGATACTTTTATAAGGTCAAGACATTGTGTCCTACTTTCTCCACGTCCCGTTTCTCCGCAGAAAATGCATAGGTTAAGCAGAGCAGTTTTAAAAATACCCCATTGAATTGCTGATTTCTGTGTATTAAATATTTTAACATGTGGTTTGTTACTGTCAGGACTTTCCGTAGCTCTTTACCAGGGTTGGAAAGGCATGGAAAGGGTCTGTGCCTTTCTTGACCTAATTGAACACGAAAAGTTAAATATACCAGCATGTGTAGCATTTTTGTAAACTGCAGTGGAGTATTATTTTTTCTCAGAGAACTTAAGAGTATATTTAATGTAAAAGTTTCTTCTGACTAAGTAAAAAATAATAACCCCATTTGGGTGGGCTTGACGAGGAGAGTCTTGGTGACTTTCAAAACTGAAGCATGATGCCAGTTGATGGTAGCAACTAACTCTGTAAGATGTTATGTTATTGGTTTTTAATTTGCCTCTCATGTGGAACATTTCACTGTTATACAAGTTGAAGACATCTAGAATGTTACAGAAACAGCTTCATATATTTAATTGGCATGATTTTGACTTAATTGATAATTAAATAGAAACAGAAAAGAATAAAAAATTGTATAAATGCCTGTTGTTGAAATAGTCGATAGCCTGTTGGAAAATTGTGGTAGGACCATTGCTATGAACTTTTGATTCTGCTTTTTGTTAAATTCTAATGAGGAAATGAATTGAAAAAGGGTTATCCTTAGCTAAAAAAATATTGTTCTGGTGTTAAGGCATGAATTGAAATACAAATTGAAAACACTGGTTTTCAACTGGTCATTGTTTACTTTTGTCAACATGTGTCAAAGTCATTTCCTTTCTCCTCTCATACTTATCAGAGCACCATATTTGCCTGTATGTACTCTTATCAGAGAGAAATATGTTGTAGAAATTAATAATTTATGGATAGATCTCAATAGGTTGCGATGCAAAGTTCTGCGTGAATAGGAAATCATTCCCTTTCCTTGCTCCTGTTTTTAAAGAAATAGATGTCTATATGCACATGTGTGATGTGATCAAGTACAAAATATTTAAAGTATATATATATATTTTCTGCTCATTTGGAGATTTGGTTGTACAGACACTTCCCAACATGGAAGAATATGTATTTTACAAATAGCTCATATCAAATGTACTATATCCGCTCACACCCTGTGAATCAATTATTTGCAGAAAAGTGTAGGAGTTTTCAATGATAAGAAGTTTATTTCACTTTGCGAATGGTAGTTTCTTGGTAATCCATGGATGTACATACCTGGTTCAACTCGGTAGAGGTATTATTAAGAAACAATATTTTGAAAAGATGGATATATTTTAAATGCCTTTAAAGAAAGTTTGCATATTCAAAACTGTTAACTGTGAAATTAAAGGTACAAACCTATTGAGAGGTATAAGCACAAAGTTTATAATTCTGTGTGAAGAAAATTTAAATGACATTTCCTTTATTTGTACAGTAATTGCTTTTATTCTTGTAAATACACTATTTTTACATGTACTATGGCTTATACTTCTAAGTATTAAAGTCCATTTTAAGGCATTTGCTGCTGAAAACTGTTAAAAATGTAAGACGTTGGTGCAGCATTTGAGAACATGTTTTATCATTATTACTTGAACAGCGTTTGTTTTCCAAATGAGCTTTCCCAAACTTGTATTTTTTTTTTTTCAAATGTAATATCACCATCAGGAAGAGTCAATCAGTGCATTTCGGAAATGTGTCTTTCACATTAATGGGCTGTGGAATTAATCTTGGATGACTTCATGTGGTTTGATAAATTATTTTCATATATTCCATGAGTCAGAATTAACACGTGTTCCACCATAACTTGTACCGTCTGTCACTCAGGGTTTGATAACCACAATTAAAAACAAAAAACAAATTGAATTTCAAGGATGCCTTTTTTTGGGGTTTGCCAATGAAGTAAACGCTTCAAGGGCTGAAGGGGAAACCTTTGAGTGACCGGGAGTGCGGGCTGTAATAAACTTTCCTTCCCCAGATTTACAAGACATGGGACAGCCATTGCTCTGGGAAGGGCTTTTCACATTATTGCCATGATTTGTCATCCATTAGCAGACGATTGCAAGCCTGGGAAGCTGCAGCTGATTTTAAAACCAGCTTTGCTGTAGGCGTGGGCATTTATTACAGCTGGAGCCATTTTTGTTTTCAAATGAGGCAAAAGACACCAGACAAGATCTTTGAGCCACTAAAGACCCTTTTGTCATCAGACCTAACTTTTGCTTAGTTAGGTCACTCCTTTGCTTTCCTTTTCAGGGCACAGCCCTCACTTTCCCCCTTTTCTCCCCTCCTAATTTTGTTTTAAACAATTTTGGGGGCCGGTTAAATGTCTTTATGAGGGTCTAACCCCTTTATTTTTTTTTCTCTAGCCCTGTGATGGTTATTTCACACTTCAGTGGTCCTTGTGGCAGAGTATCAGATTCTTGCATATATGAAAGCTTTTGGTTGCTATAACCACCACGCTACCAGGTATCGGAAATAAATGAAGTGGAGGGATGGTAGAGGTTTCAGTTTTGTGCTTTTAGCTTTCACTGCTGAGCTTTATTATATTTTGAGGACCTTTATAGAGCTTTAATGGGTGGTACTGTATTGCTTATAAAAGTGTAATGTTCTAGATTTGATCTCTTTATTATTGTTAGAAGACTGTGGTTGATGTGGTGTTATTGTTTTTATTTCAGTTAGGAAAGAATCCTCTAATGCCTTTTAGATGGTCTGTTTGTCCTGCGTGGGTATGACAACTTGAGCGGATTAAATGGCCTAGTTGACAGGACATATTGTTGGCATGTTATGATATACCCTGTAGTTTGACATTTCTGACGCTAAAGCATTTAAATATTTTACCAGACTCTTGTTTAATGTTGTTATTCAGCAAATGTTATTTTTTATACATTTCCACTTCCATGAAGCTAGAATTTCAAAATTTGTAAACGCTAATATATAAAATTATGGAGCCTTGCATCTCTAAAGAAGATCTCTTAAGAGTTCTTTAGAAAAATGTGTTTTTTTAGAGATAGTTATTGGGTGGGAACAACTCATGCATTTAATAAAATTTCCTTTTATGCTAGCAGAGTGGGTTCGGATAATGCCAGTTCTTTGAGAGCCAACAGTGCTGAATGTTTAGAAAAGGTCGTGAAACATTTCAGATTTATCTCTAAGCAGTGTATCAGTACTGGAAGGGCTGTTAAGCTTTTACAGGCATTTTCAATATCATCCTTGGATGTCATTGGATATGGCAATAAATTGCATTGAGCGATGTGGATCACAACTAGCTAGACTGTAGAGGGGTTCAGTTTGAAACCAGACTGAATTAGCACAGCATCTCATGACTACAGAAGCAATTAAAAATGCGATCTTGTTGCCTTTTTTCTCCCCTTTTGACCTGGGCATCTCCTCCAGCACACCGCCCTGTCAGTTACAGTGTGCCTCCACTTGTTGATCTACAGTATGATGCGCTGTGAAATTAATTCAGACCTGGCCAGAAAGGTTTCGTTTTTAAAAGCCTTGTAAAATGCATGACTTGTGTGTTTCCTCTCCCACAACTGCAGGACGGGACTCGGGACATATTTATCGAAGGCGTAGTGGCGCGCAACCGAGCTCTGAACGGGGATGTGGTGGTGGTGCAACTTCTCCCCCGGGACCAGTGGAAGGTAAGGGAATTCTTTTTGAATGAAGCAGTCTGTCCTCATGGAAGGGCCAAAGGGAATGAACTGCTTCTCCATTAGACACACCGGGTGCCGTCGTGACGGCCAGTCCCCCCCCTCACCCCCTCCCTTCTTTGTCCCCCTGCACGTCTTGACTGGTGACGAGAGGTGTCCTCTGGCAGATCCTGTCTCCACAGACATGAAAATGCACCGTCTCTGGGAAGGGCTTGGTTTCTGTCCTCAAGCGGAGTTAGATTAATCATTAGGTAAAATGAACGACAAAATAGGGTGTCCTTCTATGTGCTGGGACCAGCCACACCTCAGCAGTTGGCAGAAATGACGGGAGCAAGTGCTGTTTAAATACTTGTTTGAATATTTTCAGTTCAGTCCCGAAGAAGCAGTGCCGTGGTAAAGGACTGTTAAGCTGCTTTTTGAAAACTCAGATTTGATCTTGCTTTTAACAGTACACATACATGTCCAAATATATACATTTCCAATAATATTTTAACATTTGGGTTAAAATACAGCTGTTTTAAGACTATGGTTTGGATAATAATTTCAATACTAATGGGGCCATTTAAAGAGAGATATATCTCATTTAATGTGGCTGTATTTCATAACTGTGAGATGTTATTTTAGCTTTTTTAAATTGTGATGTTTTGAATTCACTTAAGGTTGTTTTAACATGTTTGTCTGCTGCAGCTGTGCTTTTAAACACTCTAAATCTACAGTTGTAATGCAACACCATAAAAAAAAAACAGCCAGCATTTGCAAGTATTATGAGGATTAACTCCGTATCCTTTCAATCTGTTCCTGTGTCAGTCAACCAGTACGTTTTTCTTGTTGTGTGGCTTTTGTGTTTGCTTCTTAAATGAAGATCCTGGGTTCATGCTGATCCAGTCCTGTGTGGCCTGGCAGCAAGCTGTAAGTCAGACCCGGTCCACCAGTGTTCCTGGCTGCTCTCCATGTTCTGTCAGCTTTGTGCGCTTCTCCATGTTCGATCCTGCCTCCCCTGTTCTCTGGGGGAATCTTCCTTCAGCAACTGATTGACTTTCCCAGCGGGTATCTCAGAACTGCACTGTCATCATTGTTCAGAAACAGGACTCCCCTGAAGACCCAGCTGTATTGCCAAACCTTCTTAAGGCTAATGTATTAGTTATAAAACAATAATTGTCTGTTTCAGTTAGCCCTTTTTCATTTTGTTTTGTTTTTTTGCATTTGGAATGTTATTTTTGTAAGATGCTTGGGGCAGTTTTTTTTTACTTTCACATGCTTCCAGTGTTTTAATTGCAGGCGGTTTTAACATTTTGTGGGGATGAAAATTCAGACTGAGGAGTTTTTGTTTAGAAAAATGATTAGGTGCCCTAGGATAGGTTATGTCAAAGAAGCACTTAAAAGCTTCATCTTGTTCTTGATTTTGTTACAGCACCTTGCATAAAAGGATTGGGAAGGAATTAGGTGTAGAAATCCAAATGAAAGGATACCTCTTGAATTTGATTAAATTATGTCCATCTTGTAAAATCTGTAATTTCAGATAATTAAGATAATAAGGCCTGAACTTGTTAAATTGTTTCTTCCAGTAGAAAGGTGTTTGCAGAGTTTTTTTTAACAAACCTTCAGATGGAAAGAGCAACACTGGACAGATGAAAATACACAATTTTTTTTTCCAAAAATGCCCTAAAAATGTAGAATTAATTTGATCTTCATACTTTGAAAAGATTTGCAAAAAATTGAGGATCAAGGAGGGATTAAAAAATAGAATGTACTGTAAATGTTTTGATGGTCAACGGCAACAAGATACATACTGATCTCTCTTCCTATTCTATGCAGTCCTTTAGGTAGTTAGGCACTTTCTGATGGGTTTCCTGACAATCGGTGACACCGTAGCAGATCTGTATGGTATTTGATGAGATAACGTACACATTTTTCACCAAAATCTATTTAGAATCCACCGTTTAACCTGTATACTGACCTTTTTCACTTTCCAAAAGAACTCCTAGTACAATAGGTGTGACAGGAAATGAACAGGCATTGCTCCTCTCTTACGTGAATGGTTATTAAAAACTAAAAGTACCACTCCATGTGACCATTTTCTTTAACTCCACTTCTGAGCAAATGAGAACTAAACTTCTGCAGAGAGGATATAGACTCTCGGAGCAGCTTTGCCTAATTGTCTCTCAGTAAGTTATTAAAAAAAAAAATTTCCCCACTTAAAAAATCTATCATAAAATTTTATTGTGCTACAAAAAAAGTTTTGAAAAAATGTCTAATAATTGTCTTTTGTTCTGGTTAGGAGTCAGGTATGTCCACACTAAATTGTGAGTCACAAAGACAAGAAAGTGCATCAAAACAAACTTGCCGTGTTAGCAGATGAGCTAATTTAGTGTTTGTGGTTCTTAGTTGAAAGGTATGACTGAATTTGGGCAGAGGCTTTTTGCCAGTCATAAAGAGTTGCTTCCTTTATAGTGGTTTATGTTTCTCTCTGATGCGATTACTTTGTCTTCTCATTGTTTATATTCTTTTCTGTTTGTTTTTAGGTTTGAAACGTTTCTATGCCGGGATTTATTCATCCTCTCACAAAAGCTGCCAGGAAATAATACAAATAGGTTCCTCACTGCTGTGCTAACTTGTGGTTTTTACTTGCTTCATACAGTATCATTACATTAGCTCATTACCATGCCAGCCCCAGGCTTCAAGCTTATGACAGTTCCCCCCCATAAGAGTGAACCATTCACTTCATGGTGATCACCTTTACTGATATACTTTTCAGTTTTGTTGTCGTTTATCAGAGATCTTGTTTTGCCCCCAAAATATTCATGGTCGCCTATTGAATTTCCATTAGTTTGATTCATACTTTATGTTCTTTTAAACAGTTTTCTTCCCAGAAATGAGTTGATTTGTATAGATGTGATGGACATCTTATAATAACTGCTGCTGTGTTGTTGTTTTTTTAGTTCAAATACAGGTGGTCTTTAGACACTGGAAAAAACACTTTCATTTGGTTTCACTGGTGCTGTTTCTGCTTTTTCTCAGTGCTGTTTCTTATACCTGTTCTTACACTGCCAGGCCTGCAGCTGTATTGCATAATTGGCTATTGCGTACCCTGTTAATCTACTATTAAGTACAATGATCAACTTCAATTATGTTTAGTGTAGATTACACAGCAGCCACTTTGCAATTCAGGAAAGGAGCTTGCTGTGTATACATGTATCTGATGAGTTCTGTACACAGTTGTCCTTTGAGCTCAGCTACACATATGGCATGTGTTTCCTTGGGAGTGGCAATGAAGCAAAGTTTTTTAGAACATTTAGGGATGAACTAGGTTCTGTTGAAGTGGCATGATCATAAATTAAGCAATGAAATTATGTTAAGACAATCAATCAAAAAGCGATTAGCTTGTGCTTAATGCCTCGTTCTTGATCATAAAAATAGCTTGTGTTCTTTTGAAAATAACAGACCTGGTGGGGAAATATCCTCTTGATTTGAGTTCAGGAAATGAAAGTTCATTTAACCTTTCTCTTTATACAACATAAAACTCCTGTGTGCTGTGCTGGCTCTCCTTCTCGGGCATCTTGATAGTCACTCAAGGAAGTGCTGTTTTCACTCTTCCCTAGACTCTTAACTTCCTTGTGGATTCTTGTTTCACACTAACCGCTCCATAGCCGAGCAGCCACCTGGCTCCTAATTGGATGGGCGGCAAGAGCTTCCAGGGCTCTTCATCTTGGGTCTGTTTTCATATCTGCAACTATACCTTCCGAAAGGGCAATCTAGGTGAGGAGAACATTAAAACCATTTGGTTTCATTCAGTTTGAAGTAAAAGCTGTTAAAGGTGATGCATCTGCAAGTGCTCAATGTAGTAATTTTTGTTCTGTTTATTCTTAGAGTTTCTGCGCAGTGTTTTGAGGTGTGAAGAAGGCTGAATACGCATGACTAAATATAAGGAGTATTTTTTTTCGGTAGCTGCTTACGTGTTAGAGAGGGAGGGGTTATTTTGCCATACAGTATGTTCATGTACATTGGCATTCTTATTTGTGCCATTCTCTTGGGACGTGTACATTACAGTAGATAACACTTTCACACAATGTACACAGTACATAACACATCAGTAAATAATAAATACTGACGGTCACAGCCGATCATCATGCACAACATTCAGCGGGTAGTACAGAACAATAAATGCAGAACGATATGTCAGCCAAGTAAAACAATATAAAAGATGTAAGTAAATATGGGAGGAAGGAGAAGAACGTGTCAGAGGTTATTTTTCACAGCCTTGTAAGTTAGTAAGCTTTGCTTAAGACTGGTGAGGCAAGTAAACTGTCTTTTCTTTCCAGTATCAAAAGAACAAGTGTGAGGCACTATTACATATTTTTCACATCCGGCTCTGCAATCTTTAAAGGGAAGTTGCAAGACTTAACCGTATTGATAAACCCCTTTTTCCCGCAGGGTGTAGTCCAGGTTTGATTTGTACACAATAGAATGAGCCAGTAGGTGTGCCTTCATCTTTCGACACTTGGAAAGGCTGAGAAGGGAAGTCCCCGTGTGCAGTATCACTATGAGCAGTTTCCTGTGGACCAGACAGAGGTCTTGACATCAGCCTGTAATTATGTCAAGAGAGTTGGTCGCAGATGTATCCGAGGCTAGGGTCACTTACTGTAAATTGAGGCTTCTTGTACCGGTACATGGTTCTTTATGGTTAAGCTTGTAGGCTACTTAAAACAAAAATGATATAAAGCTTCAAGACAAGACACTGATGCTAAGGCATGTCTTAAACATTAAGTAATGGTGGTATTTGTGTGCTTTACTGGAATGATAAAATTAATTCCATTGCTTTTGTCTTCTGCATGATCAACAGGAGAGAATGAGTTACATGTTTTCACTTCCAAGATCTATCAGACATTCCATGATGTGCAGATTGTCATGCACATACATAAGTTATTCAGCGATGTCTCTAGAGTACTAAAGCTGCTTTGTTCCTGCAGTTACAGGCTGTGTTTATAAAATGT